GGAACTCGGTAGAACATAGCGGAATCCAAAGTTGCCCAATGGTCACGGTGTTTGTACGCATGCGCGAAATTTGAACGAATAAATTAGAACGGTTGTCTACAACTTGCTGATTGGCTAAGAACTAATTGAGAACGTCAGCATTTTAACTGTCATTTCGCAAACTATTTTTAAAAACAAAGTGAAATATGGAGTCAAATAAATTATATAAAGACAAGGAAAAGATTCGCAGAAACAGTTGGTTAAATAGAAACGACTCGTAGTTTATAAGCCTTGAAGTGGTAGGTGTCTATATTTTGTTTATTTCGTGTTTGCTGCAAGAATGCAATCAATGCATTATAATTTTCAAATAAAGTATGAGCTTCAAAGCGTATGTTGTTTTACGAAGAGCTAACCGACTGTTTAAGACTGTACATCATCGCTTAAACTTTAAAAAGAGTTCTTAAAAGTGTATTTGGGAGTTTTGATAAAACAAATATCACTTTGAAGCTTATAGTCGCTGAAATCATTGTATAAATTCAATAATCGGACAACAACATTCGATGTTTAATGCTTGCATGGTTATTAAAATTATTTGTGCTGTTTTGATGTTTGGGATGTTTGGCCATAGCAAAGTATTAGCACTCACTTGAACTACAATGTAATGCAGCAAACAAACAGGTGATTTCACTTCACCTTTACGACTGTCTTTGTTTCCGACAAATTTGCCAGAAACATCAGCTATCAAGTCATTTCATAATTAGCTTAGAAGATTTGGTCTGGATTATGTTTCAACTAACTTACAAAAGTTTGCAAAATACTACTGTATAACACTTATTAAATGCAATGGAGAGCAATGGCGAGGGGTTGCTGCATGCATGTATTTCTAGTAAAATTATAATATAAGATCACATTGACATATTCCCACATGTAAATCGTATAATTCTCCATGCATTGGCAGCGGTTCATACATGCTTACAATTTTTTTGACATTCATTGCCTCACCAATCTTTAGGCTGCATACATTTATCAGAAGACTTATTTCAACTTCTTTTAAGAGATCATGGTCAATCAGCTATTTAAGTACAAACAAAGTTACAAAGATTAGCTTTTTCCAAACAAAGGGGATATTTTAAAAAGGCAGGGGAATATATATCCCCGTTCTAAACAGATAATTATGAAAAATAAAAGACAATAGCCATTTTTAGCATATTGCTGAATGTTCTTCAATTTCACCTTTCAGAGCTTTAAGTTCTTTGTTCGTAAATTCTAAGTGTGAATAGAAAAAAATGAAACCTTTGCAATTTACATGAAGACTATAGTATCGCCATTTTGTTTTGGATATTAAATCCGTGCAAAAAACTTTCCGTGAAGAAAACCAATGTACTGGTCATAAAGGCGAGAAAAAAATTTGCAAAACATAAAAAATTCCTAAACAACTTAAAAGCCCCAAATAAAACAACCGATACATCTAAATACCTGTTGGGCTTCCAAAATGTTAATTGTGTCTTCGCGAATCCCTTCATTTTTCAAATGAGTTTTCAAACGCTTCTCCATATATAACCACAGTTATACTGTAAACAGCTTTTAGTAACAATCTCCTGTTATCTATAATTTGATTTAGTTAAAAACTGCCTCAAAGCTAGCGCTGTTGTTTCGATTCACGGACGTTGGGATGGCGAAAGAAACAAGTACAAAGTACAACAGTTTAGCGAAGGCAATTTTTTCGCGCGAGGCTACCAAGTAGATTATATTTCGCCACCTCCTATTTGTGGAAAAATACAACGAGGTTACTGATTGGATTAAAAGGTATCTTGTCCTTTTCAGAGACAAATTTTGTTTCTTTCACTGTTAAAAACAAAAATCGAAATGCCATGGAATTGTTGCATATGTGCAGTTTTTGCTGCAGATGATATTAATCAATTGTTAAACCATATTGGCCGATGCCATCGGAATGACCCCAATTTCCACTGTATTTGTGGCATAAATGGGTGCTCGAAAACCTTCAAAAAATATTATTCGTGGAGAAAACACATACCCCAGAAACACATGAATGTCAACGACAATCCAGGAAATGCATCTTGTCCTGCAAATGAATGTCAATCCAGCGTAAATATTCCAGGTGCTCATAAAGACAATAATGACGAAGATATTTACAAAGACAGGTTAATGAGGAGCAGCGCTCTGTATATACTAAAACTTCAGGAGGAGTGCTGTCTACCAAAGTCGACAGTTCAAAGTGTCCTCGCTAATACAACGAGTGTTGTCCAGGAAGCAATATCTGTAGTAAAGACTCAAGTGGAAAAGAGCCTCCAAGAAAACGATGTGGATTTTCACAGTATTCCTGGTATGAAAGAGATTTTCGAAGAGGACAACGCCGCATTACAGCCCTTTAATAAACTCGAGACGGAAGCACAACAGCTGACTTATTACCGAGAGAATTTTAACCTGAAGGTAAGAATTGTTTCTCAAAGCGTTCTCTCCATTTTTTACGTCAAGCCTCTTCGAAAAAAAGGTGAGAAAACTTGGCCGGGGATGGAGGTTCATTTGACTGGAATTATTTTTTGACTAAGAATAACTTTTAGCAACGTTAGGATTAGGATATGCCCTATATCTATTAGCAACATCCAGCTAATCTGAGTACAAGATAAGCTAATCAGAAACCAGAGCTCCAACATACTGAATTATCATTTTCTTTATTTCTTGTTCTGGAAATGTTTGAGTAATTCCGTCGTTTTTTACAGGAATACTTTCATCTCTCAGTCAATTGTAAATTGGATTTAACATCAATTTTCCTATCAATAGAAATAATACGACTAAATGCTTCCTGGCACATGTGCCATACTATGACGTCTCATCTCAATTTTTTTGGGGGATGGTTAGGACTAAAATTATGATAAAGCCTAATATTAGCAATTAGGCTTATATTAATTAGCACATATATATCAGGTCTATCATTGATGAGTAAAATCATCTTGCGTTAGCCCCTGTAAAATACAGGGGACATTATGTAAGGGACATTGTTCAGGGGTCATTATGTAGTAAAGGGTTGCAATGCTTATAAAACAAAAAATATTGTTAGATGTGAACGAGCATAAAAAATTAGCGGATTTTTTCCTCCTGTCTCTTATAGCTGCAAACGTGTGATTAGAAGACATGAAAATAAATTGCTGTCTCAGCAAAAATGTGATATCATTACTGTTTTTATTATACTATAGGAACCGAAAAGAATTTGTCTTGGCCAAAAACAAGTGTTCAGAAGGCGTAAAGGAATTCTCCAACAAACTCAGTCAAATGATGAGATATACTACGTTTCCATTTTCGACAGTTTGGAGCAGCTTTTGAATGACAAATTTGTGCTGGAGGAGGTTATATAAAAAAATTTTAATTGGCAATGCATATTAATGCTTAGGTTGTTTTCTGTATAACACACTCCAAAAATGAAAATCTTTCACCGGTATCGTTTCCTTAAGATCTTACAAATGTTTCCTTTTTAAGGTCGAAAATCCTCATCTGAGCACTGATGGACTATTAAGAGATTACTGCGATGGAGAACAGTTCCGAAACCATCCATTGTTTTCAGTTAACAAAAAGGCACTTCAAATAATGTTCTACTACGATGACTTGGAGACGTGTAACCCACTTGGATCAAGAGCCACAAAGCATAAACTTGGTAACAAGAAGAAATTTAATTAGAACATATTATATTATATTTCAATTATTGTCAAAATGTATAATTTTAATAATTTAAACTAACGAATAACTCCTATCCAACCACCATGAATATACTTAATGATTCATTGCATCTTTAAGTTAGAGGTAATCATCTAAAATCTATGACTACGATTTTAGGAGCTTTTTACTATACTCTTGGAAACATCAGACCTACATACTGGTCTTCAATAAAAGCCATTCAATTGCTTTGTTTGTGCAAAACAGCAATGATAAAGAAATATGGGATGAACGAGGTCCTACGACCGTTTATTACAGACTTACAAAAACTGGAACAGGTATAGTTTTTCAAAGTTTATACATGATGATCTCTTCTCAAAAGATACAGTTTTAAGATGTTTCAAGCTATTGCTGCCGCACATGCAATTTGTAAATGTTAACTATTTCTAGAATTTTGATGAGACAATGAGAACTTTTTCTATGAGACAATGACATATATTTTAAAAATCCAAATTTACTTCAGGATGAAGGCTATCCGTTCTCAATAAAGGGTACTGAAAAAGATTTCGAGGCACAATAGCATACGCGTCTGCAGATAATCCTGGATCACAGTCACTTGGAGGCTTCAAAGAAGGTTGCTCAGCACATTGTATGTGTCGTCACTGCCTAGGCCTTCGAGAAGAGATCAAATCGAAGGTTTGCAATTAATACATTCTATTATACAGTCTTGATGCAATCTCGATTTTTTGTAGTATTGTCAGTAGGTAACATTTCAAATGCGTAAATTCCTAAAATCTCTCCCATTAAAAATGTATAATAAATTATCATTGATTTCGGCTATTGCATGATGTCAGGTATTATCCATTGGCATTGTTTAGCCAATACTATTCTCCTTAGCAAAGGCCTGCACAGATAACATTACATGGACTTCAGTCTGGTATCATGCTCAACCTCATCAAATGATCGTCAATTGTATAAGGCAAGGAATATCATTAAAGCCTAAAGTTTCCTTTCTTATAGTTTCATGAGAAATATTTTACCTTGAGAACACCACAATCGTAAGTGGATCATTGCGCTCAAATTTCAACATATGGTGAATACTTCAGTAAAGCCTATGGAATCAATAGAAGATCTGTACTTAACGACAGCAGGTTTTTCAACGTGGTTGGAGGCCTCCCAACAGATGTAATGCACAACATACTAGAAGGCACTCTACATTATGAAATGAAGGAAATGTTGAAGGAATTAATCAAGGTTCAAGCTATTTCGACATTAGAAGATTTAAATGGCAGAATAGTAAAATTTGACTTACGGCTACTATAAAGACAAAAACAAGCCATCACCTATAACTGAACAAAAACTGTCGTCAAATGATCACAGCCTAAAACAACACGGTAAGTCAAAAAGTGTATACCGTGTAATTTAGCCAGAAATTATATGGTATTTTTTCAGTATTTTTACAACAGACACTATTTTACCAGTCTTTATTGCATTACCGCTAGTATATACATCATCATCTGCTACATACAAATATATTAAACATGTAGGAAATGACTAGGCAAAATTTGGTGTAATTGTATGTTCACGTTCAGAATATAATTCACTATAGGACTTTATGATACATACTGTGTTACAAACACATAATTCTAATAATTGCAAAGCCGTTCTACCGTGAAGACGAACTTCTTATAAAATATTTACAATGTAACAGGTAAGGATCAAAACAACTCAATACTGTAAGTGTACCATCTCCTTTACAGCTGTTCAGATGTGGTGTTTAGCTATCCATCTACCACAGATCATTGGTAATTTGATTTCCCCAGAAAATACCAAGTGGAAGCTTTTTCTTAAACTGCTGGAAATAACAGCTATCTGCCTTTCACCTGTGGTATCGCAAGAACAAATTGCATACCTTCAAGTACTCATTGAAGAACACCATAGTGAGTTTTGTCACCTCTACCCGGAGAGTTCCATCATCCCGAAAATGCACTTTATGATCCATATGCCGAGTGTTATGTTGAGGTTTGTGCAACACTTCATACATTCTCTATGAAAAAAAAATATTTCTTTTGCCAGTTGTTGCAGATAAAAATTAATCTCTGTCAAACAAAATCAAAAGAATAAGAACAACTGACCCCTCTGGTATAGTTTAATGATGAGGTTTAGAGAATCTTCTACATCATAAATGAGACTGCAATATACTTTTGTGATCGAAGACGACGGGTTAAGATTGGTGAATTAGTTGGCTCCTCGTAAGATTAGATGGCTCCTCGTAACGGCTGCAGTCCCCCAAGGAACCAAACTTGGCCTAATACTACTCCGCATTATGATTAATGATCTTAGAAAGAATTTCCCAAATACAAAAATGTGGAAATTTGTAGATGATGCTTCATCTTTGGAAAATCTCACATATACATATACATGTACATGTACATGTACACGTACACGTACACGTACACGTACACGTACACGTACACGTACACATACATATACATATACATATATATAACACCTATGTAAAGTAATTTGTAATACTTTGTAAACACATTGCAATTAATTTTTAATGCAATAATGTGTCATCAAACACCAAATCAATCAATCAATCAATATATATCTTGAGAATATAAAAAATATCTTGCAATTGTAGAATGCAAATATAAATTCAATATTTGGAGGTCTAAGTTCTGTGCTAAAAAGACACATATATGACTGAGTATTATAGATTGTTTGTTTTTGTCTACTCTTACAGTCTCGGACCACTTGCTCGATCTTGGTGTATGAGATATGAGGCTAAACACCACTATTTTAAGAAACTGAGCACAATAATTGGCAACTTCACCAACCTGCCATACACTTTAGCAATGCGCCACCAACAATGGATCTCTTATAAGCTGAACTCTTCTGGAAACTATGAATCCTCATTTCTTGAAAAGGGTATAGAAATTGGACCAGGTACATACTGTAGTATTGACAATTAAATTTATTCATTGTTTGATACCAATTACACAGCAGGAAACTGTAAAAAACAAACAATAGGCAAATAGGCAGGCTGTTGATATTAGCTGGGTTGGCCTGTTAAACAGGGCTACACATTTGAGAGACCCCAGTAGTAGTTCTTTCATGTGAGCTGAGGCAGCTAAGATGCTGCAAATGAACTTTTAGATGCTTCCTACATTGAATATAGTGTGTTAATTATGAAGAAAATTTTTAGTTCAGTTCATTTTGTCAAACAGGCTGGCAAACCACATAAATCAAATTTTAAAAACAATTCAAAAGCTGGTGGCCTAGCTCATCATAAGCAAGCCCATAAACAATATTGATGAAATACATAGAGTGCTTATTGAATAGTCACTTAGCTTTTGTACTGCAATTCACTTCAAATTTGTAATATTCAAAAATAAAAGTTACCTTCACAGGTATGATGTATCTGTGACTAATATGTTCATATGGAATTTTATTATTTTTTCAAAGGCGACACAGTTTCAGCTGGGGATCTGTTATATTACAATACCCTGAAACAGGCACAAGAACAATTAGAACATGACACAAATGTTAGAAGGTATATGGCTGACATAGATAGCTGACATATAGCTGAAAAATTGATAAAGCTTATAGTATAATACAGCAAGTAAGACTGAATTTCTTATTATAGACCAAAATGGATTTCAGTTCATGGAACCATGTACAAAAAAGGATGTGTCATTTGGACTGGACATGATGAAGAAGAAATGCCCATTTTTGCGATTGTGAAAGAAATTGCATTGCTGAGGAAAATTTGAGAAATGCTTGGTTGGTGACTGAGCAACTCTTGACAATTTCGTATAATCCCCACTTTAATGCTTACGAAGTAGAAGTACAACTCAGTCAAGAATTAGTTCTTCAAAAACAAGAAGATCTCATATGGCTTTCCCTTACACCTAATACACATTACCCTAGAAGATCAAGTAAAAGTCTTTGTCTGCCCAAAGTACCAAATCCCACCAAATGCTTAGAATGCGAGTCAAATGAAGCTGACGTATCAATTCATATAGTGTATATAGTGTGTGTGTTTCAGTGTTTGTATACAATACTTATTGGTATCAATGGTATGTCTTGCCATTATATTGTAAATAAATCTGTTTAGTTAGGGATTCGTTAATTCACGACAGATGCATTAAAATCTCTGAAATTACTTACCTATATAATATATATATTTACATCTGTTAAGTCCGCGATTCTGTGAAAGCTATCAAGACAAGTTTAAAAACACAACAGTTTTATAGTATTCTTTGGCCGTTGGCAGATATTGATTGGACCATTCTCTTCGTAATTTCGCTAATGTCAAAAAAAATGTCTCTTCTATGCACTAGACTTGCAAATGACTGTTTGTGATTCGTAAATCGTAACCATAGCTGTAAAGCACAAATGAGATATATTCTCGTCTGTGTTGTAAGCACTGGCCGTAAACTCGTAAGTCCCGTAACAAACATCCGCCATTTTGAAAATTTTTGCTCGCTATTTACCCCAATTCCTAGGGGTAATTTTCTCCCTTCAGGCTTTTTACTCTCGACGTAGGGGTTGTTTCAACTTACCCCACTAAAGGGTGTACGCTTGTACATCAAGGCAAAAACTTCCTCTTAAATGCAAGGGTAAAAATTACCCTCACCTAAATTACTACCCAAACGAGAGTAAATTTTACCCCAATTTTGGGTAAATTTTACCCCTCAAATTTTACAGTGTAGTACTTGTGAGTTTGGTGAGTTGAAAGATGAAATAATTAAAGATCGGTTGGTTTGTGGAATTGAAAATGACAAGCTGAGACGAAGCCTGTTACAAGAAGACAAGCTAACTCTTCAGAAAGCGATCGAACTCTGTCAGATAAGCGAACTGTCTGAACAAAGAATGAAAGAGCTAATGACTGCATCAGAAGTGCATGAAGTAAAGTATCCACGGCAAAAAGATCACGGAAGTCGACAACAACGACAGCTACTGAATGGACAACAGCAGCAGCAAGTATCTAGTCATAGAGACAAAAGTGGCAAGTTTTGACAAACGGCAAAATCGAGAGGCAATCAGCTTCGACAGAGGCCATGTTTGTACTGTGGAAGCGTGCACAAACAGCAAAACTGTCCAGCCTATGGAAAGAAATGTCATGCATGTGGTAAATTAAATCACTTTGAAAGAGTTTGCCAATCAACTACGACTCGACTAATGAAACATAATCAACAAGTAAACACGTTAACCAAAGGAAGACAAGGCATTCAACCGTTTCTTATTGAAATGTTAGGTGCATATAATATACAAGCAGTTAGTCATGATACATTAAGCATTACAGTTGAAGTGCAATCAAAGCCATTGAAGTTGAAGGTAGACACAGGAGCTAAATGCAATGTGCTGCCAAAATATATTCTAGATTTGTTGAATATTTGCAATAAGATTGATTACACTAAGAAAATTGAGCTAATTAGTTACAGTGGAAATGCCATACGCACAATAGGGCAAATACACCTTTCTTGCAAATACAATGGTGAAATTTATAATATATTGTTTCAAGTGATAGATCAGTCCTTTGAGCCATTAATAGGTTTACAAAGCTCACTTGATTTGAATGTGGTCACTATAAATAATGCAGATTCAGTACAACAATCATCTAATTTAGAAACATGCAAGACACATGTTACTCATACAGTCATAAATAAGGCATATTTTGAGGAATGTTATAAGAAAGTCTTTGGCACAGATCTTGGTAAACTTCCAGTGGAATATCGTAAGAAGCTAGATCCTGATGTCAAACCGGTTATTAGACCACCAAGACGAGTCCCTGTGGCGATGCAAAATAAGGTCAAAACGGAGTTGGAAAGAATGGTAAAGATGGGCGTAATAAAACCAGTAACCTAACCATCGAGTTGGGTATCCTCTTTCGTAGCGGTGAAGAAGAAAGGAAAAAATTAAATCAGATTATGCATCGATCCAAAAGATCTTAATCTGGCCATTCAACGGCAACATTATCCAATGAGAACATTGAGGAGGTAGCAGCACGAATGCCAAATGCAAAGTTCCTCACAGTCCTGGATGCTTCCAGTGGCTTTTGGCAGATTCCCCTGGATTACGAATCATCGCTGAAGACAACGTTCAGTACACAATATGGTAGATATCACTTTTGTTGTATGCCCTTTAGAATAAAGTCTGCGTCAGAAGTATTCCAGAAAACGATGGATCATGTATTAGAAGGCTATCCATGTGAGGTCATCGTGGATGATATCCTAGTTTGGGGAACAACTGAAGCGGAGCACGACGAAAGTCTCATTAAAGTCCTTGATAGAATTCGGGAAATCAACATGAAGCTCAAATGGGACGAATGTAAATTCAAAGTGAAAGAAGTTGGATATGTTGGTCACCTCTTAAATGCAGAAGGATTAAAACCAGATCCAGAAAAAATTTGTGCAATCGTACAGATGAAGACGCCCGAAAATGTGAAAGATTTACAGCGATTTCTTGGCATGGTGCGTTATCTTTCAAAGTTTGTCCCACATTTGCTCTACCGCTACAAATCCTAACGCATGTAAATACACCTTGGGCTTGGGATGGCGTCCATCAGAGAGCCTTTGACAACCTCAAAAGTGCGATTAGTTCTGCACCAGCCTTACCGTTCTATGATGTGAGCAAGCCAGTCACACTAATGTGCGATGCATCGTTTGGCGGTCTTAGAGCCACGTGTTTGCAGGATGGTTTACCAGTACCATATGCTTCGCGATCATTGACCAAAACAGAACAGAACTATGCTCAAATTGAGAAAGAGCTTTTGGCCGTAACATTTGCATGCAACAACTTCCATGACTACATTATCGGAAAGAATGTTATGGTTGAATCTGATCATAAACCGTTGGAGATAATTATGAAGAAGCCTTTGTTGACGGCACCAATGCAGTTACAACGAATGATGCTACAGTTGCAGCAATATGATTTATCATTGGTTTATAAGAAAGGATCTCAGTTGCACATAGCAGATACGCTGTCTTGTGTGCAGCTAAGTCAAACTTCGCCTGTAGATAGTTATGAAGACTACGAAGTATTGACAGTGCAGCCAGTTGGATCACATAAAATGGCTGAGTTACAGTGAGAAACAGCTTTGAATCCTACATTGATGACTCTGACAACAGTAATACTTTATGGTTGGCCAGAAAATATGAATGATGTTTCAAAAGACTTGAAACCACATTTTTTAACGTCAGAGATCAATTAGCTACGAGAGATGGTGTTATCTATAAAGGTGAAAAGGTCGTGTCGTAACCCGACAGAACCCTGAAAATCAGGAGGCCGAGAAAGAGGTAGAAATAGTCCAGACCACGACACAAGAATCAAATGAAACAAATGCGAAGTCAAATAAGGTAAAAGGACCCCTAGATAACAAAACAATAGCAAACAACCCTTCCTACCATAAATTTAAAATTATCGGACAAATTGGTGAGCCAAACCAAAAGGATAAACTGAGTTACACCTCTCTGGTAAAACAAATTGAAGCTGGTGTAGATCAGGGATTTGCAGAAAAGGAGGTAAGAGAAGCTGTCATTCGAGCAATAAGCCCAGGTCTGGATTTGAGAAGTTATCTTGAAACATTTAGTGACTTAACATTAGACCGACTACGCAAGATTATTCAAAGTCATTATGGTGTTCAAGATACGGCAGAAATGTACCAAAACCTGGCATTGTTGTGTCAGGGACCTAAGGAATCCCCTCAGGCTTTCCTAATTAGTGCTCTTGATCTGCGTCAAAAAAATCCTATTTGCAAGCAGTGAAGGTACATATGTGCTAAAGTATGAGAAGGAACACATCCAGAACTTGTTTTTGCAAACAGTGGAAACAGGGCTACAGGAAGAGAGCATTTGTGCGAAAGTTAGACCATATTTAAAGGATACAAGTGTCATGGATGAAAATCTGATCCAGCAACTAAATGCTGCAGTGTCATCGGAGAGTGAAAGATTGAGAAAATTAAAGTCACAGCCAAAGGAGAGTGTAAAGCTCAGTGGCCAGACCTCGCATGTTAGTGCTGCGAAAGACAACTCAGACACAGTAATGGCGGCAATTAAGGAAATCAAGTCAGAGGTAGAGTCACTCCGTGCAAAAATGACCAATCCAAAGACCAGTAATGAAACAAGACAAAGAAATCAAATGAAAAGAAACACATTATGTGTTCATGTCAAGAGATTGGACAGGACAGCTGTACACACTGTTTTATTTGTGGTGCTGACAACCACTTCGCAGCTGGATGTTGCAAACGATCTACCAAACTGCCTTTAAACGGACCAAGACTACTGAGAAGGGATCGCCAGTAGTCCAACCAATAACAAGATCCCGTCAGTGTAACAATTGTAACAAGGATGTTAATATAGTAGATGGATTGCAACGATGTTCAGACTGCAAAATTATTTTTTACTGTTCAAGAAATTGTCAAAAGGAACAGTGGCCTATGCATAAACAATTATGCGGCACTTTGAAGACAATAGCTGAAGAGAAACAATGTAGAACCCAACAGAAAGTTAACCAGGCAGCATGGGTTA